TACCCATTCATACAGCACTCTACTAGATCTCTACAAAGTTAATTGAACAAATCATTCTAAAGAGACTAACCAGAGCTTTATCATATTCAAACACCGATGGGACACACATCAGAGGATATGAGGGGTTCAGTGTCTTGCCCAGGGACACTTCAGCATGTGACTGCTGGTGGATTCGAACCCCCAACTCTCGCATTGTAGGATGACTGCTCTAACCACTCAGCCACAGCCATAGTGTAAAGCGCTTTGAGTATCTTGAAATAAGATAGAAAGGCGCTGTATAAGTACAGTCCATTTACCAGTTATTGAAACAACGCCACAGTGAATGCATGCTGTAATCAAAGCTAAAGGAGGTCCAACAAAATATTAGTGTGACCTCTTTTTGGTGGTGACTTGTTTTTGGCCAGTGTATCTACAACAGGTAAGATAATAACTGTTCACTAAACCTCACTGTAAAATATCTGAATTATGACTTTACATCGGGATGATGGTGGATGAACTAGTCACACACGAGCCGTTGGCTTTATAGCTCCTAATGGCTGCTGCTTGTGCAGCACAGACCTGTTTGAATGGTTTTAGTAAAGTTGGTGGTACCGACAGAGTATAAGTACTGCCTGCCCAGCAGCTGGTACTTTACAAGAGGCCCCTCGTGGCTAGTTGTGGAAGTGAAACGTGTGACAGCTGTAAGAATAACCAGACATCTGTAGGTCAGAGGGGAAACGGGAAGAAAACACAGCAGCTGCAGAAGGTTGATCAGACTCAACAGGTTTTTAAACTTTTATTCTTGTTGAACTTCAGATGAAATCTCGTCTACTAGGCGAGTCCGTCCTACAGAAACATCTCGCTTCTGCTCAAGTGCTTGGGCAGGAAATATTAGCTACTTTTCCAGTTTTTAATACTTTTTTGATGGAATATTCTACTTGTTTAAAATACTTCTACAGGACAATGTTTTAAAATGCAAATAGGCCAACAAGATTTTACCTACATGGAAATCTTTAGCAGGATTTTCAGTCCTTTTGTTCACTTGTTTCAGATTAAACGGACACGTGGATCAACTCTTGCACAGCATAGAAAACAGGAGCCAAGCACGCCTCTACTCTTTCATTACAACAGTCTGGTTTTTATAATTCAAGAGATAAACTTTAATACTGATCTCAGGACGGTTCAGGACCTAATCCTTTCACAGCTGAAGATGTTGAAACGTGCTGAAAAACTTGTCAACAAGCAAGAGGAAGTGACTAAAGGGTCAAAGTAGAAGTGAGCAATGTGGCGCAACACAAACAGAGAAACTCAGGAGTAAAAATACAAAATGATTTACTGCTCTGTTCTTGGACTTAGGTTTCCACTGAACACATTTAATTTGTTTTACAAGAAACCATGTCGCTGTTTGAGGTCAGTTTTCAGCCCTACATGTTGGTCATTATCTCACATCGAACTGTAAACTTCTTTCAGAGCCGGTAGCTTCCAGTGAACAGCTCAGTTTCCTGATTCCTTATCTTGACACAGAAAACGGCTTCAGACAGTTCAAACACAGACCACAGAATGAACCCAAGAAAAGTCAAATTCCACACAGTCCAGTGGAGACATGCTGCGTTTTGTAAACTAGTTTAATTTTTAAGAAATTAATTTCAAGCACATCTGGACGGAGATGACTGGGGGAGTTTGTCAGTGCAGCTAAAACATGATAATAAATGGAGTAACGAACATGATCACAGGACACGTGGTGAGGATGTGCGTCTACACTCCAGTCTCCTTCCTCCTCTGTGGTCCTGGTAACGTCTGGCCCAGTCTGGTTCTGGAGAGCGTCTGAGGCCTGAGTTTGGGGCCGGAGACAGGTGGACGGTTCTCGTCTGCCTCTTCGTCGCAGATCGTCGCCGACGTGGAAGAGGAGCGGCGTTTTGTCTGGACAGACTCTCCCTGCTGCTGGGCCATGGCAGAGCGCACGCAGTTGAGCCACTGCTGCTTGTGGTAGACGTCGCTGACGAGCAGCGTGTGGGACTGGCCACGGGACGTCGAGCTCACACGGAAAATATTCTTAGCTACACAAACAGAAAAAATATAACTATTAGTTTAGGCTGCATAATGTAACAAATCAAAAACAAAGGTCTAAAAACCCAAATGAATCATTAAAAAAATAAAACCTACTACCTACAAAACTCTTTATAAAGTATTTATAGTAAATACTACATCACGGTCAGCATGCTGGTTCATGTACTGGAAATGCATAGATTCAAGGATTCAAGGTTCTTTATTGTCATTCGCATTGCGAATGACAATGTGGTACATGATGTGGAACGAAATTATGTACAAAAGGTCCCAGTTACACCCAACAATAGCAAAAATATAAATTGTACAAAGAAACAGTAATGAGGATCCAAGATATCAACTAAGATATGCGCTAAACAAATGTCAAACGGTACACTAAAAGATCTAACCATTCAGTTATAAGTTGTGACAACAGTATTTTTCTTAATGGAACTGACAAAGAAGAAATAATGAATGTAGTAAAAAATCTTACAGATAAGAGATCAAAAGACTGGGTGGACATGGATATGATGTTTGTAAAGGATATAATGAGTTATGTTATCGAGCCGTTTACATATATTTGTAATTTATCATTTTCAAAAGGAATATTTCCAGACAATATGAAAGTAGCTAAGATAGTTCCTCTCTTTAAAAATGGTGATAAATGTGTGTTCAATAATTATAGACCAATATCCTTATTACCACAGTTCTCAAAAATTCTAGAAAAACTGTTTGTGACCAGATTAGATAAATTTATTACTAAACAAAACATTCTAAGTAGCAGTCAGTATGGGTTTAGAGCAAAAAACTCTACATCAATGGCTCTCATGGAATTAATATAACAAATAACTACTGCGGTCGATCAAAAACAGTATTGTGTTAGTATTTTTGTTGATTTAAAAAAAGCATTCGATACTATTGACCACACTATTCTCCTTGAAAAATTGAATAAATATGGTATAAGAGGACCAGCATTACACTGGGTATCTAGTTATTTGAAAGATAGAAAACAGTTTGTACAAATAAATGGTGTAAGATCTGACATGTGGAGTTCCTCAAGGCTCTGTACTTGGACCAAAGTTATTTATTTTATATGTGAATGACTTATGCCCCTTTTCCACCGTCACAGAGCGGATCAGATCAGTTCGGGTTGGTTCAGATCGGTTCGGGTCTGTTGTGTTTCCATGTACATTTCTGGACAGGCTCTGTAGGCGGGGACTAGAATCCAACTCGTCTTACCACCTGGTGGCGGTAGTGCTCCCTTAAGCTACTTACTAGCCACCACTAAACGTATTAGAAGAAGAACACCCTGAAGGTTTTGTCACACGATGTTGTGGAAAAGATGTCTTAGTGAATGTATCAGGACTCCTCAAATGTGTCCTTTTTGCAGATGACACCACATTTTTTTGTTTGGGTAAAGATGTAAAACGGATGTTGGAATTGATGAAGACAGAATTTGATAAAATACAAACTTGGTTTAAACTTAATAAATTATCATTAAATTTAGATAAAACTAAATACATGATATTCAGTAACAAAAAGAAAACTGTTGATGATCTATTTAAAATTGAGGGTGTTGAGATTTATAGAGTTAATGAGATGAAATTTTTGGGTGTAATCATTGATGAACAGATAACATGGAAAAATCACATAAATACTGTAAGAACAAAAATATCTAAATCTATTGCAGTACTATACAAAGTCAGGGAATTATTAAATGATAAAGCTCTGTACATATTGTATAACACAATCATTGTTCCACATTTAATCTATTGCATTGATGTTTGGGGGAAAGCATGTAAAACATTTACAAAGCCTATTTTTATTTTACAGAAAAGAGCTGTAAGAATCATCACTAGAAAGCATTACAGTCACCCATCAAGCACATTATTAGCTGAGCGTCTTTGAACTCGGACATTCACCTCCGACATTATTTGCACTTGTCTACCGTCCACCTCGGTCTAAGCATTTCATAAATGAGTTTTCTGACTTCTTGGCTGAAATCACACCAAAATATGAGCATCTTTTCATTATTGGGGACTTTAATTTGCATGTGTGCTGTCCTGAGAAGCCCTTGGTTAAGGACTTTTTAGATTTATTGGACTCATTTAATCTAACTCGGCATGTAAACGGTCCCACCCAAGAGCGCGGACATACATTGGACCTTGTTTTAACTCATGATATGACTGTTAATAATCTTGTTATTGGTGATAATGCTTTTTCAGACCACATGCCAGTCCGGTTTGAGTTCACCCTCCCCCATCTAACTCCTAAGTCTTGCATTCCTGCACGTAGGACTCGGACCATTAACCACTTCACTGCCACACGTTTCACAGATGTTTATAAATCTGAAATGATAATTCAGCCCCCAGTGTTTCTCTCCACCACTGAGGAGCTGACATCCCAGTTCAACTCTGTCTGCTTAAAGACTATGGATCATGTCACACCTGTTAAAACCAAAAAATCAAAAATCAAAGCAGAACCTTGGCTGAGTGACGTCACCAAGGCCGCTAGGCAGCAATGTAGGAGGGCGGAGCGACGGTGGAGAAAAGACAGGCTGCAGGTCTCTTTTCAAATACTTAAAGAGAGTTGGCGCCATTATCAGAAAGCAGTAAAAGCTGCTAAATCCAAATACTTTTCTGATATAATTACCTCAAACTCTCACAACCCACGTGTCCTCTTCTCCACCCTAAACTCTGTTCTCCACCTCACTGAACCATCACCTCTGGAAGCCTAAACTGAGCTGTGCGACAACTTCTTACATTTCATTTTGGAAAAATTGCGACCACCAGGGCTCTCATTTCCCCTCCAACTCATGACCCATCCATCCCACCTCAATCTGTAGCTCTATTTGACCATTTTGAACCAATCACTCTATCTTCTCTAGAGCAGGTCATGTGCAGCTTGAAACCTTCTGGCTCCCCCTTTGATGTGGTCCCCCCTGGACTACTAAAGGAGGTGTTTCCAACTCTAGGTCCGTCCATTCTTGCCATTAGAAAACAGTAGTTTATCCACTGGCGTGGTGCCAAAATCCTTTAAACATGCTGTTGTCCAGCCTCTCCTGAAAAAAACCAAACCTTGACCCGTCAGTCGTTTCCAAATACCAGCCTGTCTCCAAACTCCCATTTGTTTCTAAAGTACTGGAGAAAATAGTTGAGTCCCAGTTGAATTGCTTCCTGGAGGATCACGCCATCTTAGAGCTTTTCCAATCTGGCTTTAAACCTCTCCACAGCACTGAAACTGCCCTGCTGAAGGTCTTTAACGACATCTTCAGATTCACAGATACCGGTGATTCTGTGCTGCTTGTCCTGTTGGACCTCACAGCCGCCTTTGACACCATCGACCATGAGATCCTCATTGCTAGGTTGGAGCAGTGGGTGGGCGTCACAGGATCAGCCCTCAATTGGTTCAGATCTTACCTCACTGACAGATCCTTTTGTGTCTCCATCAAGGATTCAGCCTGATCAAGAAAGCTCATCAGAGACTCTACTTCCTCAGACGGCTGAGGCGAGCTGGTCTGGGAAGCTCAGTCCTCACCTCCTTCTACAGGTGTGCAGTGGAGAGCATCCTGTGCTCGAGCATCAACGTGTGGCATGGAGGCTGCACAGCTGCAGAAAGAAAAGCTTTGCAGAG